TACTTCTCCATACTGTGTTTTCTTGTTTTACTTCCCCATACTGTGTTTTCTTGTTTTACTTCCCCATACTGTGTTTTCTTGATTTTATATATTTGATACTAAAACAATAAAGTTGAAAGCCTGTTTACTGACAATATAACAAAATAATGAAGCGAAACAATTATCAAACTTTCTATATTTTGGTGTATCTTTACCAGTTGAAAATTTCGATAAAAGTGGGGTTTTTTTCTGTCATTATACATAATAATAATTTCAGATGTAAGTGAGAAAGACGTTTCGAACAAAAATCCACATTCAAACGAAACAAAAGCCAAGTATATCTATATATCAACTTTCAAATAGGAAATTGTATTTTTAGTTGCAGATGTTCTTCAGTCATTCTACAAATACACACAAATTTTGTAATATTTTATCCATTCAACTAAGTGTTTCGTTTAGTATCATTTGAAACTGATGGGCGGATATGAAAAATTGTAAACATCGTTTGTTGCTGTGTTACATATTTGTTTTTCGTTCATTTTTTGTACATTAATTATGCCGTTCGTTTTCTCGTTTGGATTGTTTTACATTTTTCATTTCGGGGCCTTTTATAGCTGACTATGCGGTATGGGCTTTGCTCATTGTTGAAGGCCGTACGGTGACCTATAGTTGTTAATTTCTGTGTCATTTGGTCTCTTGTGAAGAGTTGTCTCATTGGCTATCATACCACATCTTCTTTTTTTATATAAAGAAAATAAGGAGATAAATTATCCAAAGAAAACCTAAGAACAGGGATATCGTAAACAACTACACGATCTCCGTTCTGCCTTCAACAATGAACAAAACCCGTACCGTATAGTAAGCTTAAAAACACACCAAGATAACAAAATGTGAAATAATTCAAAAGAGAAAGCTAACGACAAAATTTAAACTAACGAAAAACAATGCGACCATTGTATGCAACTACTGGACTTACCGGGGCCTGGCTTGTAACAGTCACATATTAAGAATGTGAAAAATTTAGACTTTAGAATTTTAATTTTGAAATTTCAATAGTTTACCTTTCCTGTTTTAACCATGTGAGCGAAACAAAGGTATTGCAAAGTAGCCATACCTCTTTTGATTACCCAAAATATAACAAAACATATTGACACAATTTAAATGTGGCTTCCCATACAGAGCCAATGAAATTTCCCCATTTCGTGACGAACAAAATCTTGAGCATCATGGATAATTTTCCTAGATTACTTCCAATACTTGACCCTAGTTATTATTATATTTATAAAAGGTACAACTACTAAATATACAATTTAAAAATAAAACACCAAAATATAAAACCATTAAAGCCATTAAAGACAGTGGCCCAAATGGTTGTAGCATAATTATTTCTGTCTTTTAGCTTGATATTGTGTTTAACATTCTGGTGTTTTACCTGGGACTAATAACATATAAGGTTGTAACTTTGACATTTAGTGGTTGTATCTCCTAACATTGCAAATGATAAAGGACAAAATTGTATAACCGCTGTAGTAATGGAACATTGGAACTGCTTCTTTTATTTTAAAATTGAGAGTTGTCTGTTTGTTCATCTATAGTTATTGCAGTTCTGTGTTATTATAAAAATAAGAAGATGTGGTATGATTGCTAATGAGACAACTCTCCACAAGATACCATATTACATCGAAATTAACAATTATAGGTCACCGTACGGCCTTGAACAATGAGCAAAACCCATACTGCATAGTCAGCTATAAAAGGCCCCGAAATGACAAATATAAAACAATTCAAACTAGAAAACTTAATGAACGAAAAACAAATATGATATACAGCAAAAACGACAACCACTGAATTACAGGCTCCTGACTTGGGACAGGCACCGATACAGAATGTGGCGGGGTTAAACTAGTTAGAAGACGCAAACCCTCTCCATAACCTGAGACAGTGTTGTAACAGTACAACATAAGAAAAAACTATACAAATTCAGTTGAAAAGGGCTTAACTCATCAGATCGATACAAAGCAGAAATACATCTTTCAAAAACACAGACCTGACGTGGCAGGGTACTTATACATCACCACAACAAAAAGCCTGACACTATTACAGTACAAATCTGAGAGTACTCGCAGTTACTGACAACAAGTTCAAAGCCAATAAACAACTAATAAAAACATCATGCATCTAAGACTAAAATATCCGCAATCAGTACACATCCAACATCCAATGGATTAAGTATAAAGATGCCATTAACAGTCAGAGAAAACATGATCTTGTTCTTTTTGTCTTTACTTCACCAGAACCATACACAACTCTGCAGAAATAATGGATTCATGGTCCTGAGAAAACTTTTCCATTCAATTCCATCAATTTTGCTCGCTTAATGGTTCGTTTTCCCTTTGTTTTTTCCGAGGCTTTTTTTTTTTTCTTTTTTTTTTTTAAATTGATAATTAACATCACAATGAACTAATTTTCGATAACTGTGATTGCTCGGTGACTCTGGAATTTTGTCACTTTGTTATTGTGCTTCAAACGAATCAGTTGATGCGTCTAGCCGTTTTGAATGAGTTTTGTAATTTGTTCTTTTTTTTTTGTAGTTACACCACTGTCCCAGGCTATGGCCGATAGTGTCACATTGACAATCATACCACATCTCCTTATTTCTATATCAAAATGTAGCAGCTAGTGTCCCGGTAATTCTGAGGCCAAGTTTAAGCTACAATTAGACTGAAAGTTGAACGCCAGAGCGATTCCCGATTATATAATTTTGATTTAGTTTGAGTGTTGGAAAACATTGGATATGGATATTTATGAGCTGAAATTAGGCTTTGATCTAGCTTTCAGTAACTTCAGGTACTTTTAGATAGGTATTCTTAGTCTTTTGTCTTTTTTGCTGTTGTTTTTTTACCGATTTGATCAGTCAAGCCTTTCCAGCTGATTTCTAGTGTGTTCTTATATTGTGCGGTTACGCCACTGTCACGTGTTAGAAAGAGGTTTGAGGGCTACACAAAATCATGTTTAACCCCAACACGTTCTTTCTGTATACATGTCTTAAGCCAATAGCCTGTATTCTAGTGTCAGATTGTCGTGGAGTGCTGATTGCCATTCAGTTTGTTTTTCGTTTCTTATTTTTAATATAGACCAGGCTATTGATTTCCTTTTTTAAATAGTTTAATATTATGGTTATCACAGGGCCTTTTGCAGCTTACTATATATATATATATATATGATATGAGTTTTGCTCATTGTTGAAGACTTGCTGTTGTTCACTGTGTGGTCTTTGTGTAAAGTTGTATCATTAGCAACATGCCCCATTTTTTTTTTGCCATATTTCAGAGGCAGTTTATATGTATAGAAACATTTGGTATGGCCTCAAATATTCTTCAGTGCTGATTAAACTAAAAATATTTTTTTCCGATTTTCAACCTTAAAAGAGTGTTTTTGTCAGTTTTAAACCCCAAAACGCCCCTAAAACCCAACAGAAGACAAATTTGACGATTTTGATAAAATACGTTTAACCTCTTCAACCCCAATTCTTTGATGGCCTGTATGACCCTCCATACTTTTTCAGAACTGCCCCAGCTCAACTGTCTTTACAGCAGGGACTTCAACCATGCAATTCATGGTCCATAAACTCTTCTCAAATATGTGATTATGAAAATATGGCAACTTTGATGGCCTTTTTAAAGTTCAAAATCTCTCTCTCTATATATATATATATATATATATATGATGAAAGCAGTGGTGTGCAATGATGACCATTGGAACAGACCTAATTTTGCCTTTTCTATATTTCAACTTGAGGCAGAAGCTCACTCAAATGCTAATGTTTAGACAAACAACAAAAGAAACTGCAAGTATTTATATGAATTTTGAAAGGAATGAAAAAGTAAATTCACCTAATAAAGGAGAATAACTTAAATCTTCTAAAGTTTGGGGAAAATGCTTCTGTTAAGTGGTCCGAGACATTTTATCAAATTTCGATTAAATTCATGAATACTATCTCCATTTGTCATCTGGAAACTTACAAATATTGAATTATTTCAACAATCAAGGACCATAACTCTGGAATGGAAAAAGTGAAAAGAATGAAAATCAAACTTAACCGGTCTATAGTGGTCCTAATCATTCCATTAAAATTTCAATTAACAAAAAGCTGTTCTCTATTTACTATATGGAAACAATTTTTTTTCCCCAACAATCAAGTACCATAACTCTGAAACAGTGAAAGCGAAAATGAGAAAAATCGAACTTAACCTGTCAAAACATTTCATAAAAATGTCAATTAATTTAAAAAAAGCAGTTCTCTATTTATCATCTGGAAAACCAAAAGTGTGACGACAGACAGACAGATGGTCAGAGGATTGGATTGACAGACATGAGATGTCTATATAACCCAGACTCTGTCAAATGGGGAACAAAAATATCATTCAAAGTTCATCATCTGTCAGTGCCTAATGTCCAGTGACAAATATTTCCTGCATGTCTTATTCTGGATTGATTCATTGTTGCTTGCCTAATGTCCAGTGACAAATATTTCATGCATGCCTTATTCTGGATTGATTCATTGTTACTTGCCTAATGTCCAGTGACAAATATTTCATACATGCATTATTCTGGATTGATTTCTTGTTGCTCCTTAATGTCCAGTGACAAATATATCCTGCATGCCTTATTCTGGATTGATTTCTTGTTGCTCCTTAATGTCCAGTGAGAAATATATCATGTATGCCTTATTTGGATTGATTCATTGTTGCTTGCCTAATGTCGTGACAAATATTTCCTGCAAGCCTCATTCTGGATCAATTCATTGTTGTTTGCTCAATGTCCAGTGACAAATATATCCTGCATGCCTTATTCTGGATTGATTTCTTGTTGCTCCTTCATATCCAGTGAGAAATATTTCATGTATGCCTCATTCTGGATGGATTTTTTGTTGCTTGCTTAATGTTCAGTGACAAATATTCCATGTATGCTTTATTCTGGAATGTCAGCTTACTGTTTTAATATACATAATGAAAACTATATGTATTTCTTCAATTTATTGGCATATATTTAACAATTAATAAGGAATGTGTATTTTATCTACAAATAAATACACACGTTTTGTAAGGAGTGATCTCCCTTTTACACAATACAAAAATTATCTCCCTTGGAGAGTTGTCTTCCTGGACAATAAAACTGTCAGGCAACTGTTTTTTTTTCTTATACAATTATTCAAGTCAAACATTTAACAAATTCAGAATAAAAATGATACAAAATGAGTTATTCTCATACAACAGCTAAAAAAAACCTGTCCTTCAGTAAACATTTAGGTTCTAATGTTAGAATAAGATATTCTAAAAAAGATGTCTTCACACTTTCATCATATAAATATGGGAGATATGTACTATATATATAAGGTTATTAATCCATCTTTAAAGTGTGCCATTATCCAGTAGTTGTGATATTTGTAAAAATAGATGACATCAAGGATTTGTATAGTATTACTATACAAATCCTTGATTACATTAAAATCTCACTTGAAAATTTAAAATTTACCAATGTTGCATTTTACAAGAATATAGACTTCAGCATCCAATTTCTTGGTACAACTGATTTTCAAGAGGTCCAAATTTTGTTTAAGGATGTACACCCAAAAAATATGTACTGGCAAGCATGGTGAGGTAGGAAATTTTTTTTTATTTTTATCTTTTTGAATCATTTATGAAGGCTTAAATAACACCTGGTATTATGAAGATTATCTCTGGTTTTGTTAACAATTATCAGTTTTTTATAGGTGTATCTCTGGTCTTGAACAATATTATCCCTAGTTTTGTTTAAGATATTTCTGGTTTCATTAAGGATTATCCCTGGTTTTGTTCAGGATTGTCTCCAAAAAACAGTTGCTTTCAATTTTCAGTAAAAGTTTTCTAATCAATGAAAATCAAATTGGACATGAAAATGTTGGGAACTATATTTAGCTATTCCAAGAATACATTTACATAAAACACTTCCTTTTTAGAGACCTTAAGGTCAAGTGAGTGACCAGTGTCCTTAGTATAAAGCTAGTTAAACCTACATATTTAAAACATGGCACAATGTCTATTTAAAATGGGACAAAATACAAAAATTACATATAACATTTCTCCACTTACAAAGGTATATTGCACTATTATTCTTTATGTACAAAACATCAACCTAGTTCCATATACTATCATTCTACTTTCATTTTCACCATCCTACTTTCACTTTCATATTTTCATATAATTCAATATGTTCAGACAAAAAAACCAACAATATATGTTTTCATATTTCAAAAGATAAACACTATTTGGTGGAAATCAAATTTTCAGATAAAAATATTTTACACTGTATTTTATTGTGGTGAACTTTATCTTTAGTTTACTGATATCTCATAAAACTTGAATTTCTTTGTGAAATTGTACCAAAGGTTTTCAATAGTAGATACAATACAAAGAGTTCATACAGAATCAGTAAAAATAGAACTTTTATAGAAAGATCACCTAAAATCTAAAGAAGTCTAAACATTGTGATATATAAAACTAGCAACATTATCTGTGAATAAGCTTATTACAAGTAGTTGTTTAATCCCCTATGTTATTTCACAATATGTTGATGATATTTTCATAAGATGTGTCTACATATATTATATGATTAAGCTGCTACATTATGCATCAGTTGCAAATCAAGGAAAAAATTTCTGTTTAAGAAATCCCATTTCTTCCTAAATTTATTCTAATAACATCAAAATGAGTCTTGAACTAACCTTTTTCCTACAAATAAACTAAAAAATACTTTCTTTAAAGTTTCTAGATCCATCATTCCACATTATCAGTTAGTGCTATTGAAGCTGGTATGAAGTAAACATTAAATCATAGGTTAATTACCCAAACAATTGTAATGTCTAGCTTGAGATCATATGTATTACTATTTAAGGACTAATTTAGCTGATTTAGAAAAGATTTCATAAAAATGTCTGTTGTGTCTGTTATATCTATAATGTTCCCAAAATTCATCTCTTCTAGTGAATACAAAAACATACACTTATTTTAAATTAACATGTTTACAAATCTTCGTCTTCACACAACTTGAGTCCTTTGCTCTTGCAATCTAAAACTGACATCTCACTGAGTATACTTCTGTTATATGGGGTCAATATCCAGTACAACATCTAAATTCAACGGTCCCTGTGAAGTTTGATTTTACACTGAGTTTATAAAATCTTCAGCACCGATTGTCAACGTTTATAAAATAGTCACTGTACTTCCGTACTTTTTGCCATTGGAAGGTATGGATAGCGGTTGGGATTGCTGGCATGAGACAAGAAACTCTCAAATAATGGTCGAGAACTTCTGTCTTGTGATTCTGAAATGTAAATATTAATACTTTACTGGCCATATATAAGTCAAAACTGAGAATCTGGGATAATACACAAATTTAGGTAAAATAAAAACACAAAACAGCGGTTAAAATTCCAGTTCATTATCACAACAACATATATCTATATATATAGGCAATGAGATTGGGTTCAAAATCCTGGTCATTGTTAAAACAATATAAAGGCAACAAGACAGTATTGAAAATTCAGCACATTTCTACTACATTATGTTTTGCCATGGCATTGCCTGAGTTAGTTTTCCACTTATGACTTTGATTATCCCTTAAGTATCTTTCGCCTCTCTTTTATAGGCAACAAGAAAAGATTATAGTAATTGACACAAAGATGATTTAAGAGATTGCTAATTGATTGATGTTTGCTTTATGTCCAGTGGCAAATATTTGATGCATATTCAGGACAATGATTGGTTGGAAATTGCAGCCCTTAATTTGAAATCATACAAAAATTTGTAAAGATTTTTTTGGCAAAGAAAGGCAAATTTGAGAAACCATGATAAATACCTGTGAGATGTTTAGATTCTGAATCTGAATTACTGCTGTCTTTGTCTGTATCTCTCTCTGTTGTAGATTCTGAAACATAAATATACAATAATATCATTTTATTTGCAAATTACATCTAAATGTGTCAAGCAAAAAACACAAAATATAACACAATATTAACACAAGTCAAGAATTTAAAGTTTAAACATAAAACAAAAACAAAGTTATGATAATGTACTTTGATAGACATAGACCTCATTTTCACAACTCTAAGGATTGCTTTATTAAGTCACCAATGCTGTTAAAAGTTAAGATTCAAGATTTTGAAAGTTGTTTTAGCTTGTAAATTGGTTGAGAATTTGTACTACCAGGTTCTATATTATCGTTTTTCAAAATAACTTTTCTCTTAAAGTTGAATTCTGTTTACAATCTATATTCACTTCTTATATTTGTAGCCTTTAACATAAATTTCATTATTTGTAGTCTTCAACATAGATCAAATTAACACAGCTAATATTTCCTATATCCATGTAAAATTTGATTTAATGTGTAGATAAAAACACAAAATTTCACAAATAAGGTGGTCCTTTTCAGTTCCAAAAAAACATGCCCAATTTATAGCATTGGATATCTAAATCAAATTGTTGGTGAAATCCAACAAATTGCAGTTCAAGATACAAATATTATGTACTGCTTACCACTGCCATGAAAATTTTTGACAGACTGAGGACTAGCTACTGTTTCTTGGACTGCTTTTACTGGTTCAGTTGTAGTGGGGTTTTCTAATCTTTCTTGTACCCTTTTTCTGGCTCTTCTTTCTTTCTTTAGTCTTCGTAACAGAATGCCTAAAAAAATACCAAGCATAAACTTGTCAAACTTTTGTGCAATTTTTTATTTACGGTTGAGTTATTGTTCGGCATGTTGACGAAGGATGGACAAAAGGACAGAGGTTTACCGTAATACCTCCCATAAACTGGTGTATAAAAACGAAAAACAACCAAGAGACAAACAACAGTACACAAAACACAACATACCAAACTAAGGACTGACCAACACAAACCTCACAAAAAAACAGCAATAAATGAGAGCATACAAAAATTGAGACTACCCCTTCACCACCACTCTGTTGAGACTACCCCCTCACCACCACTCTGTTGAGACTACCCCCTCACCACCACTCTGTTGAGACTACCCCCTCACCACCACTCTGTTGAGACTACCCCCTCACCACCACTCTGTTGAGACTACCCCCTCACCACCACTCTGTTGAGACTACCCCTTCACCACCACTCTGTTGAGACTACCCCTTCACCACCACTCTGCCCCACTATGGTCATGCTGATTTATATATTTCACTTTTATTTGAAGAAGAATTAAAGATTAAACTTGAAATGATCTATAATAATTTTTAATTTACTCAGTTTAATGATAAAGTATATTTATTACCTTTTGATTTCTTTTCTTCATCTAATTGTTTCTCCACTCCTTCTCTTACTTCTCTCTCTCTTAATAATTCCATTTTCAACTCAGCTGAAACAATAAAAGTCAGCAATATTAAACAATATATAGATATAAGAAGATGTGGTATGAGTGCCATGAGACAACACTCCATCCAAGTCACAATGTCACAAATATGTCTGTTTATACTTCTGAAAGTCTCTTGGTAGTATATATATATACATCTTAAATTAGACTTGTTTATATATATATATATATATATATATATATCATGCCAGTCTTTGTTTCTGTTCTTTTCAGATTGAAGATGTGAATTAAAATTTGAATGTTAATTTGCTTATATTAGTAGTACCTTAAGTCTTACATATTTTCTCACAGTCAATACATTCAAATGTCATAGATATGAATGGAAAAACAGATGTAAAAAATATATTTTTTATTACTAAATATGAAATCAGATATGATACAATTTATTTTCTTGTACATTTTTTTCTTCCAAATTCATTACATTTAGCATTTCCAACAAATAAAAAGGATCTAGGTAGAGTTGGAATCTATTAATTAAGCAGGCCTATATTCTGTGCACTGCATGACACCTGCAACAATTCTAGCATGCATACAAAACATCATACTAGAGTTTATGTGCTTGAAAAATTATATCTGGTCATGAAACAAAAAGGCAGGAAATTGATATTGTAAATACATCAGAATAAAAATCAAAAGATCCTAGACAATATTGTCTTTCCACTTTGTCATAGATACATCAAGATTAAGACAGACAAGAAATGACTTGTGTCAAGAATACCCACAAAAATATGATTTGTATCCTCAAATCAGTCGTTGAATTCATAACTTGTAGCTGAGATCTTAGAAATGGAATGTCATCGTAAATTCCACAAATCTGTGTAAGACTGGTTCATCAATATCGTTATTATTTCCTCGTTATGTCGTTATATTTCCAAATCCTTATATTTATATCTCTGTCTGGAGCTCAGTGTGTCTGTCTTCATTACATTTAATATATAAATCCTAGTATTTATTTAAATGATGTTTTTTGCATTCTGTTTGATAAAGAGGAATAGCCTTGTTTGGAGAAATGCTTTATCACACTTAATTCAGTTTAGATTATTCACAAAGCCAGTAATTCAAGTTGATGATTTGCTTGTTTAAAGCCAGTTTTCAAAATTTCACAAATGACAAATTCTGCTATAAACTATCTTATAACAGTTATATGGGTGCCAGAAAATAAAAAAATGTCCTAGGCTGAATATTTCTCTTCAGTTTTCATTTTTTGGTACATTTATTTTGATCTCAAATGTTTTAAGAAAACATTCATTACTAATGAATTGAGATTACTTGACTCAAAGCATAAAAACTATGATTACTGAAAGATATTGTGAAAACTATTGTGTTTTTATGCAATCATCAAAAATCAGAACAAATATTCTTTAAACTAGCCATTTTTCATCAATAAGGGGGTGGAGGAGGGAGTGCAAGGTCATCCTGTGGCTCCCTCTGGATTACAGATATTTTGTGATTATTCAATACTCTGTTTGTAATCATGTCAACGTGTGACTGTCACATGACAGCAACCAGACAGGAGTTAATTTACATTTATCTATCCATAGTTAAACTTATTCATTTTATTACAAATATATCTATATCAGTCTGTTAAAAACAGGAATTCATTTGGAAAGAGACAATTAATTTCTTTAACATGTCCATTTTATTTCCTGGAGATAAATAGTCACATATAATCCTGGTCATTTCAAAAACATAAAAAGAAAGAAAACAAGGAGAATTCATTGTCAAAGCTCCATAAAGAAAGGTATAAAATGTTCTGATGTGGGGTTATAGCTAATGGAATTGTGTCTGTATTCAGTAGTAATTACAAATAAAATAATGGTCTCTAATCTTTACAATGTATATTTCTAATTCCCATTTTAAAATTACAAAGTCTATAAGGAGCCTTGGATCTTTTTTATTCTGTAACAAATATTACACGAATTTATATGGTGAAACAGGAGAAGATCTTGTTCATATTTGGTATAAAACTTACTGTGGTAGTTAAAATCAGCAAAATTGTTCTCAGTCACTAGTAGCTATGCAACATAAAAACTTGCTTTACAAGAAAACTTAACAGCCTAATCATAAGGAGATTGAATAATATCTTAGCTCTGCCTAAAACAGCTTTACACAACTACAGCCTATCAAGAAAACATCTGCAATGTTTAAGGAATAAAGACTTTTAAACCATGATTTACCATGATATTCATTCAGAACTTGGCATACAATACATTAATTTCAAGTTAAAATTTTATATTATTTTTTGTAATATATACCACAGACAAGCAAAGAGAAAAACAATGCAACATTAACCATGAATTCAGCAAAGACAACAGATACAAAACAAGTTTATGCAAAGTAATTATAACTACAGTTCTATAAACCAGTATAAATCATTTACAAATTGAATATTATTTTCTTCTCATTTGTCTCATGAGATTGTCAATTTCCGGCTTTTACTATCATTTATCCAATACATAACATTTATTTTCACGATTCAGAGGGATTTGTGGTGTGCAGTTAACAAAATCATAAACCTTTGCTTCATTTGCTGCGATATCTTATGGACAAAACTATTAGAAATATCATATAAGAACTCCGTCGAGAATTGCACTTTTTTAATTTTCATTTAGTGGAAGACAATGTTATTACTCCATCAGATCATTAAATCATTCGACGATTGCCATTTCATTTACGATTATAATAGGGATGTATACGATTGTAAAATGGAGATCATACAATGTAATTATTTTACAGAAATTGTTCACCATAATGTCATGCATCTTGTCAATGTAAAATCGTCAAAATTAAATGACATCTAATATTACTTCTGCGGCTTACCCACGGATGTTAAACATAATAAGTCTCCTGTGTTATTATCAGATCGTTTACCTGCCTTTTAATTCTCATATTTTTGCCAAACAAATTACGTTTTATATTGAAATAATCTCCCAACAGGTAAAGAAACCACTCTAGGGAATTTCCAATTACTACAAGAAAAGGATATTCATCTCTTTGTTCATCTCTATATTCTTTTGTCGAGTTATAGATTTCAATTTTTTGGATATTTGCTTTGTTTCATCATTTTTCCATGTAATGTATCACCAAAATCCCAGTGTTAGCTTAAGAGATATTTTTTATTGAAACCGAGTTCTGTATATTGGTAAGGACATTGAAACTTTCATCTCTAACCATATTTTTTGGTGGCCTACCAGTGACCAGATGAAATACACAATTAAAAAATTGTGGTACCCATGTTTTCTTTCATAATACATCATTTGGTAAGTTGAATGATTGGTAACATTGGTGAAAATTTGCCCTTTCTTTCACGGAAAAATGATAAATTTGATAAAATAAGAACTTGGACTAGGTTAGATTATCACAATGATAGCTTTACAAGGGAAATATATCAAGTACTTAGGTCCAGTCAAATGGGTCATGGCTGTATCTCTTCTGCACCTGAACAATTTCCATTAAAATAATATCCTTTTACAGAATATAAAATATCAATAGGTTTATCTTATTGTTGGAGAGAAGAAAAAAAAGAAGATTTTATCAAAATTTATCATTTAGGATTTAATCTGAGTAAGAACAATGGAATCTAGCCTAAAGGTGTCCTAGCTTCTAATCAGGTAGATGTCCATTTCTCATATGTCCCATGAAAGTCAGTTTCATCAATTGTAAGCAGACAGAGATATTTATCTAACTGTCTTTTTAAACATGAATAAAGCGAAAATTTGCAGAAACATTATAATATTTCAGTTTCACCATCAGCTGGAAGTACGACCACCCATCTTTTCAATTTGAATAAATATTATTAATTTTCACATTTTATATTTATTTCAGTATATATTCAGGTGTGAAATAAAATTTAAGCGAAAACAACTTTTGAAAAGAAACTAAAAGATTTAACAAATGCTCGTAAATCATATGTCTAAATCATATGACACACAGTTAGTTTCAAATAAATAAATTACAGTCTCAAATTTCATCCTAACTTATCCGCATCTGTAATTTTCAATTATACAAATGAATTTTTCATGAATTCCGTGATCATTACGATTTGAAAAATTTAAACATTTATTCAAATATGCAAATCAATCCATAAAACTTTGAATCATATAACTTTATATAAAAACTACCATTTTAAAAAAATCTACCTTTACACTGAAACGCAACACTAAGCGTGAAACAAATGTAAAATTGATTTTTAACGATCGGTAACAAAATTTGAGCTGAAATTATTTTATTTTAAATGTTAATGTAAATGAGCACATAATTTATTACAGGCCGATAAAAATAAAATGTTCATAAAAAGTTTTTATCATTTTTATTACCAAAATATCTGAAACGGTTTTATTCAAAAAAGAAGGACAACCAACATTAAAAATGACATTAAAATTTAAAATTCTATTCAAATAGAACCAAATAAAATATTTCAATTAATTAAATTCAAATTTATTGTGAATGCATATTACAAAAATGCAAGCTATCAGAATTTCTATAACTGCATAAAAAACTAGGAATTATAAATGACAGTAATCTATTTTTCAATTCATTTAACAACACTGTCTAACCTTCCAATCTTGCAATATTTCTTTTCTTTCAAAGTATATCATTTGAAATTGATATTTCCTGCAAATTAATTGAAAGCTAATCAAAATATATATCACATTGAGATATTTTCAATGTTCAGAACTGAGGGAAATGACTTGATAATTATGCGATCATTAATCCTATAATCTATGGCGCTAAATTAAATTTACACAAATTACCAGTCAGATATATAAACAGATTCAATAAGAAATAAGCCACATCCGTATGAAGACTTTGAAGTACTTGTTCATAGTTTGAATGACAATTCAATAATTTCACAGTCTTTGAACAAATCAAAAACCACAAATTAAATTCCTCAATCAGAACTCGTCAAATTTTACACATCTGCACTCTAAATCAATGCCAATAGTACGATAATCAGAAATATCTTTAGAAGAAAATGCACAACTTTACATAATCGAAAGAAAAATGCTTTCTGTGTATTTAATAAACTCGGCTTGATTATGTAAATCTGTGAGAGCAGAACAATATTGGAGACTTAAAAACAGACGGAAGTTAATGAAATTTAATCATTACTATTGAAATATTTACATATAAAGAAAACCATGATTTATGAGCCATTTAATGCTGGAAGCTAATCGTAGTCAAGTGTATACCATTCGTAAATGTACCCAGTGTTCTTTTTAAATTTCAGTTAAGCGGCAAATTTCCCTACGAATGAATATTGGAAAATTAGAATCAGATTGCAATCCAACATACGATTCACTGATAATACATGATTTTCTTTTTGAACAAAAGTGGTATAATTTGGATGGATTGAAATGATACTTAGGTGAATCGGTACAGAGTTACTCATGCATGAAGAACAATCAGAAATATTGTACTAATGACCCTTAGATCATAGGATTTTTATGTTTCCTATGTTATTTTCCTGCATTTTATGACATGTTCAGTGGGCAGATTTTTTACGGTTCAGTGAAAAACGACTCCCTTTCAAAAAACTCAAATGTCATAGTAAACAGAAAGCTTGTTTAATTGCAATCATTTGAAAGAAATCTAAGTATATATTGGGTAATTTTATGAATGTTGTGAAACTGTTCCCTGTCATTATTTACGGTAGGCTTGTGACACTACAAAAGTCCCGCACGACGACTGTTGACCTTGGTTGCATCACTATATTACATCTGCCCACCTGGTAGTTTAATCAGGCGAATGGACCACAAGGAAATCGTCTTTTCTTAATGTTTAAGTTTGTAACTTGAAACCTCCCCTTCTACTCCTGTTAACAAATCGGCAGAAATTCCAAATTCATTATTAAAATATGCTTTAAATCGTAATTTAAATATACACTTATTATATACAAATGATATTTATCAGTGCTCAAGAACATAATGTGATATTATGACTACAACAAAAACTGTTAATTGTTGAATTGGAAAAAAATGCATGATTTCAAATTAAAATCCAATTGCCAAAAATAGTGTAAAGTTAATCTATCCTGCATCTCAAGTTAATCGGTACACTTTATTCCTGTTTACGCTGCTGACTTTTAATAACAAATAAACAACACTCATGCAGAAAATTCATTGATAAACAGAACTGTAGTAATGTCCTTGAACAGAAATATCTCTGACGCCTACACTTGTTTGAACAGGGGAAACAACTTTTGAAAACTGAATGAGTAACTTGACAGTATATCTAAGAAAATATTTTACAGCTTTTTTTTTTTAATCACAGAAAGGTAGAGTTTTGACTCCTAGATTCCATCACGGTCTGTAGTTTTTTTTTGCATTCTAGTTTAAGCTTAAGCCCGCCTCCGGGTGCGGAATTTTCTCGCTGTGTTGAAGACCCATTGGTGGCCTCAGGCTATTTGACACATTCCCCATTTCCATTCTCAATTTTAGTTGTGGAGGAAGAATATTCATTTTCATCAGGTCTTTCTTGAGCAAAATTATTACTAGGCCCCCACATTCATTTCCAAAATCTTTCTGACACTCCACCCCAATTTTAATTGTACTTGAACAATCCTCACATAACAGTTTAAACTATGATAAAGTTTTTTATTAACTCTGCAAAAGTTTTTTCTTACAAATACCCACATCTTTTAGGGATTATCAAATGCCAAGTGCTCAAGTGATTTGTACTGAGTATTACAATAAATTTCATTTCTGTCAAAACAAAAGTAAATTTTAATGCCATAAAAGACATAAATTCCCATTTCAAAAATAAGATACAGGTGTTCATTTCAGAAGGCTTTTATAAGATAAATAACTTAATTGGTTTCTTCAGATCAGTGCACAGAATTATGATATCATTCCATTTCAAATCTCCCAATTCACATCATAAACATCAATATTTTTACAAGACTATTTTATGTCCTGTTTTGTTGATTATACAAATTCTCTTAAGACCCCAGTCTGATTTGAATACATCTTTGTTTTTCTACCTACCTTTTTCATAACTGAGTTGCCTTTCGTGGTGACGTGCATTTTCAGCAGCCACTTTCAATAGGCCCTGTATGTTGAGAAGTAGAGTTTCTATAGATGATATGGATGCATTCTCTCCATTCAATAATGGATTAGTGAAGTTGTTTTGTTGGGTTACTGTCTTTTCTCCATTCTCACTTAAAGCTTCACTCTCGTCATTACTGTTGTCTAAATCTGTAAACAAATAGGAACATTTTTATTGTTATTTTAAAAAACTTATATCATACAAGGTACCATCAAATTTGCATAATATTCATACAAAGAATATCTATATGTATAGACCATACAAAGAATATCTATATGCATAGACCATACAAAGAATATTTAAATGCATAAAAACATATGTAGTATATCTATTTGTACAGATCATACATAGTGTATCTATATGTAAGTTCATACATAATATATCTATATGTGTAGATATCTGAATATATATATCATACTTAGTATATCTAGATGTATAGATCATACATAGAATATCTATTTGTATAGATCATATATAGCATATATATATATATATAAGGATCAACCATGATATATCTATATGCATAGATATCTAAATGTATAAATCAAGCATCATACATAAAATATCTATTTGAATAGATCATACATAGCATATCTATATATAAGGATCAAACATAATATATCTATATGTCTAGATATCTAAATGTAAAGATCATACATAGTATATCTAAATGTATAAATCATACCTAGAATTTTGAAATATATACATCATACATAGAATATCTATTTGTATAGAACATACATAAAATATCTATTTGTATAGAATATACATAGAATATCTATTTGTATAGAACATACATAGAATATCTATTTGTATAGATCATGCAGAATCCATAGAAAAACCTGAAATTTAAAAAAAATAAATCACGTTCTTATAATTCAATATTACAATTTTAAAATCTGCTTTTGATACCAAGGCCAGCTGACTTCTTATTGTGGTGCAATTGTCATATAAAATCGCTGAGTTATAGAACAAACTGATGTTAAAGCTTTAGTTTATGAGGGGAAAACACTAGCAAACACATAAAACCAAAATAATAAACACAAGTGCACAAATTAAATACTTGAATGAGTATAATAAAGAGTCGGTAGAATTATTAATGTTCTCTGATATGATAAATAAGTGTTAGGCCACGTTTACATAAGTACTCACATAAGACGACTAATGCACAATGTTGATTTACCTATGATTTATGTATGAACTGAACTTGGAAACTCTCTTCAGGAATTTGTATCATTTGGTTCCCTTTCTTTGAAACAAATGTCTATGTCTAAGCAGGATTATTTGTTTAAGTGTCTAAATGTCTTTGAACTTTTTGAGCTTCTATTAATATGTTGTTCTCTATAGCTTTCCAATCAACTTTATTGTTTTTCAGCAGCAACTGACTCAATTTTTTAAACCAAACTATAATATATAGAGACAAATCACCTTAAGTCTTATTCAAGGTTATCCAATTTTTGTCTTATGTATGCTTTTTAATCTGTATTTTTTATTTTCTTCTTGAAATATGTGTGAGACTGCCTTGGAAATCAGCACCCCTTGGTTCCCAGAATATCAAAATTATTCAGATAAGCAAGGACAACAACTTTTTAATGAGGACTGGTAATGCTGAATTAAACAAACCCTGCATTCTATATTTTCAAAACAACCGTTATGAGAATGCTGGACACTTTCAAGCCTCTTGTTCTATTCATAATATCAAACCAAAATTTTACTAAAAACAAAAAATGAAGTTCAATACCATCATAGTTACTAATAAAGAATGGAGCTTTTGTTGACTGCATTTTTAAACATCATGAGAATTTATCTCCATTCTTAGTAATTTATAACAATTTCTTCAATTACACAGATAAATTTAGGAATCCATTGAAGCTGACCTGCTCAGTTCCTCAAAGAAATTTAGAGCCATAAATCACCAATTTCTTTCATACTTTCATCATGTACAGATGTTCAGTCAAGATTTCAATTATTAAAATGTGAAATAATATAAATGTAGAAAAATTAAACATGTGTTGATTTACGACATCAAATCATCACAAAACATATGTTCTGTACAGATAACCTTACATACTAATTCATATCTTGTAGTTTCTTCTGTCAGTGCATACAGCAAAAAATAAGAAAAAACATCATTCTCGGCAAAGGTGATAATAAATTTGATCAGTCACTCTTTAGACATTTAAGTTTATTTTTGTTGGTTTTTTAAACTTTTGGTGTTCAGCGCCCCTGAAAAAGGTTATTTCGGAAACATTTGTTTTTCCTACAGAATTGATATATGTTTGTTAAAATATATATTTGTTACTGGTCTGTTAAATGCATTTCAAGAAGAACCAAAGCACTGTTGACCTTTAAACATCTAGTGAAAGAACATCTCAGTTAACATTAACAAGTTATCAAATGTCTATACCAAGATTTATTGACAAGAGGTGGACAACATTTGACTAGTGAAACAAAATAGAAATCACTTAAATCAAGATTTGTACTTTAATCTCCTCTTATTTCATTTTGTATGTACTTCAAAAAAAAAAAGATGATGACAATGTGTAAAAAAAATCAGAGTGATGTAAAATTTGAAGAAACAAGAATGTGTCCATAGTACACGGATGCCCCACTCGCACTATCATTTTCTATGTTCAGTGGACCGTGAAATTGGGGTCAAAACTCTAATTTGGCATTAAATTTTAAAAGATCATATCATAGGGAATATATGTACTAAGTTTCAAGTTGATTGGACTTCAACTTCATCAAAAACTATCTTAACCAAAAATTTAACCTGAAGTGGGACAGACGGACGAACGGACGGACAAACGGATGAATGAACAGAGGCACAGACCGAAAAACATAATGCCCCTAGGTGGGGCATAAAAAACAGTTCAATTAAATTCAGAATATAGAAATGCTGTTTTTTGTTTTTTTTAACTTTTAAGTATGAAAGAAGTAGCTGTCAGTTACACCTCTGACCTGTCAGTTACAACTCTGACCTTCTTATTACTTATATATAAGTCAGTCAATTCAGCATCAAAATGACCATGTCTTAGAAATTCTTTTACAAATAAAGCATAAAATAACACAGAAAGTATTTGTTATTGAAAGGCATTTAACAATTATATTTAAATCTAATTATTTCAAAACAGAAGACAGAATTACTGCAGGGTAAATTGTTCCATTAGAGTAAAATATCATATGTGTCTTCATATTATAGAAAGCCTCAAAGAAAAATAATTTTCTGCTAAAAATCCTATTATTTCATGTTCCATTTGTTTCTGTCATTATATCTCATCGAGGCATTATTATCATCGTATATTTTTCTCTTTACCAATTTACTCTTCAGATTAAAACTAAACAGCTCTAAAACAAATGAACAAATCTTTTCATTCATATGAGTGATTTTCCTATCAAAACGGAATCGTAAATGTCATACCTCAAAGCACTTCGAGAAATCAACCGTGCGAAAATGACAGACCCTCTAATAACATGTCATAAATTTATTGTGTTAATTGTGAGTTTATTAATTTGACGATCATTGCTTTTTCCCTCGTTATCTCTATGTCCTTTCCTATCTGTCGTGTATGATTGAATTTGCCAATATTACGCGACAATGGTGTACAAGTATCCTGAAGGAGCGAGGATCTCGTATTAGATTTACACTCCAGTAAAAGACACTCCACTCATCAAATTATCTGATAACTGCTTTATATCAGATTCAATAAAATTAGTTTCGATGGGAAATGAGAAGAGATGGAAACTCTTAAAGAAAACACAACATATTTCCTCTCCAACGTTGTTTATTTTTATGCAAAAATCAGGCATTTTTGCAAATTGAATACATGATATTATGCTCATGGCATAAAATAAACATGCACATAGACGAAAGAAAGAAAGATCTTTATTACATTTAATAATATCTTTACAATGAACTTTTACTAATCACATGACATTTTCAGTGCAAAAATTGAAAATACAATGTATGACAACAATACAAAGTAATTGTGGTGTTTGGTTACTTTCATGTTAATGCTCACTTTAGATTTATTAATACTTATATTAATCAAAATAACTCATTTTTTGAGAGTGAAAAAAAACCTCAATAAACCTGCACAGTACTTTTACTACACAAACACTTCATTTGAACTTTGGTGGATAGTTGTCTCATTGGCAATCATACCACATCTCCTTATTTTTATATTGTTATGTTAAAGAAAGCTCCTTTAATTGTTTAGGTTGTAAAGTATCAAATTTTATGTTTTCCAAAGTTGAAACAAAAGACAAATATAATTCACCAGAACATATGCCATTTCATTTCAGTTTTAATAATGTTAATCTTCAGTCTAAATCATGCAAATTGCTATGATGTTCACACTCACACAGATAAAACTAAAACTTTTTTCACAAAGCCAGCAAGTACTTCCGACAATTAGTACTGACTCTCTATTCTGGCGACTAAACATTTACAAGTAAATTAGTTAAGGTGGATGTTGTCTGGTGGAATGCATTAAAATTAGCAAATTTCCAAATCTATTTTGTTCTGATGAATTTAGTTTAATGAAGATTTTATAAAATAATTAGAATCCAATTTCTTCTTCTCCTGTTGAAAAATAAATATAATTTTGGAGCTCTAATGAGCAAAGCGTGGTCAAATAGATGTTTTTAAGAACAAATCAACATGCCTACTGAGCATGCTCATTAACTCATATGAAATATGTCTTTATTTTTGGTGTCTGCTTGTTTGTATCAAAGTGAGACATAATATTTCCTTGTGTGTAAGAATTGAACAAATAGTGAGGAGGAACAGATAGAAATTAAAAAATAACAATTTGATAATATGAAAGTTTGAGACACATGCTGTTACCGTGGCAATACAGATGCACCAAGATGCACGAAGCTAATAACAAACAAACATTATTACATACTTCTTGTGGTGTTCTAAGACTTTTACATGTGGAGAAATCAAATTTATAATTTGACTGTTTCAATAAAATAGTTTAAATGGAATACATTCCATTTTGGATATTTTTGGGACAAGTTATTTCACATATTCCTGCTGAGTTTGAAATGACTGTACACATCACATAATGAGGGTAAAATGTTCATCTGTTTTAGAATAACTTTTTTAAAATGTTTCCTTTTAATCAAACACAGTGTTTTTTTTGTAATTACTGTTTCAGAAATTTTCCAATTACTGTCTTTTCTAATAAACAGAAACTGTTGGATTTTTTAATGAACTCAAAAAGAAATTTACATTGAATTGAGATAAAAAACAAAGCTTCTTCTGTCAATTTTCTGAAGAAGACAGAACATTTCTAATAATACGAAATCGTTTATCAATCATATGCAACCAATGGTTTATTTAACCTCATTATTATAAACTAACATCTAGTGGGTCCATTTTAACTTTTCGCAGCCCTAAAACTTTCACATTCCATCTCTCTGTCCTTTCACCTTTGACATGAAAGATTTTTAGCTCTTACTAAAAGTTTTTTTTTACAAATAATATCATGCATTCCTAAAATCCAAAGAAGAAAAAGCAATTAATATACAACAATACAAAAATTGGCCAACTCATCAATTTTTTTTCCTAATTTACTCATTTAGTGATTTTGACGTCTGACTTGCAATTGTAATGTTGAAACTGATAAGTATCATTCTTTTAATATCATCCAGCGATGTACTTTTGTAACTTCAAATATTAGAGAGATTAATTAAAAGGCTTGTCCATGTGTTAACCAAAATATTTTTTTCTTACAATCTATGTTATGACCTTGACCTCTGAACTTGAAATCGACAGGTGAAAGACTATCACGGTGATCATATACTGTTGAGGATTTGTACCTTAAGGTATACAACATGTTATCCCTATGTCATGCTATGGGTTTGACCTTGTCCTTTGACTTCTGATCTTAACACAAAAGTGGATTTTGGATGTTGTTCTTGTTTTTGTTAGAACTTAATGCAAGATCCAGGCCCTATGGAGCATGAAAGGTTTTATCTATTATGTCCAATTTGTGACCTTGACCTTTTACCACTGACACTTAACCTTAATAGGTCGAAGATCATCCCTCGTGGTAGTAAGTTTACTATAGCTTGGATTTATTCAAAAACAAGTTACAGTGTATCTCATCTACTACACCTCTGATGAAAAAGGATAGTAATTTATAATTTTTAGACTTTAATTTAGCTATAGCCTGTCCCAAATTTCATCTTCTTTTATCATCATATTCATCTATCTTACCATCATCCCTATCTTCATCTGATAATCTATCATCTTCTTCATCTAATTCGTCATCACTTTTGATCTGTGGCACGTCTTTAGCATGTCCATTTATGTGGAGGTTCAAAGGTCGATTGTCTAAAAATAGATGATTTAAACTTGTTCAAAACTTCATTTGAATTATAGGAAAACAGCAATTTTTGGGTTTCATTGCTTTCCTTTTTTTTCTAATGGTAGATATTTGGCTTCTTGTTGGGCATTTGAGGCATCTTCTTTAAAATGGTCTAAGGGCCTGTCTTAATGTTTTTATTATTCTTAAAATAGGTAATTTGGGGGAAAATCATATTTCTAACCGAGATCTTGTTTTTAAGAAATCTGTTAATACTGTGTTCTTGTTAAGTTTTAATCAATTCTTAAATTCCTAATCCTTTAATTTTTATGGACATAAATTTCCAATTGCTTAGCAGACGAGACTGAACCGTAATTGTCACATTTTGTAACAAAGATTCAAAGTTAATGATTCTTTTTTAAATTTTCCCTATGAAAATCTGTTTAAGATTTGCTACATTTAAACTGAATAAGATGTTACAACAAAATGTTTATATACATATTTTTTTCAGATACATATATAATGGATATTAGACAAATTGATTCACCATGCCAAATTATATTTACAATTTTGATTATTGTCAGTAACCAAGTTCTTTTTATGTTTCAATAGAAAAGTTAAAATAATTGAAAATACAGATGTTATAAAAAATATAAACAATAAATTCATTTCACTTGTGAATCGTTTGGAGAATCATCAATCCAATAAATGGCTCTACATTAATTCAAAAACATCGAAAATTGTAATATTATGGTGGAAATTTAGCAGCAGAAAACAATTTACAAACATCTATCAGATTTAGAATGTCAAGAAAATCATGTTTTATATTAAAAAACACATTTAGCCATTACTCTAGGTAGTAATAAACGTTTCTGGGACTGAATCTAATCTGAGAAATATCGCAATCTAATGTACATTTCAAATGTAGAAAATGAACTTTGTATGTTTCAATTTTATATTATAAAAAGATTTCATCATGATTGAGTTCTAAAACTTCCAAACTATGTCATTATCGGAATTCTGCAAATAAAAGTTCATCACCTAAGCACATAGCTGTATTAATTTTTACACCATTGGCAGATGTTTGTCAGTATTGGGGTATATATCAAAGCTTAATTATATGCACTTTAATTAAATTAAATAGACAGAAGTTTCATAGATTTGATTTTGTATAAAGAAGTTATTTTCATACAAAATAACTAAGACAGCATCATAATAAAAAGAAATATTTTTTTTTCCATTTTCATTTAGGTATGTTGAATTAACCTGCCATTAGTTTAGATTGGTCCTGTTACATATCTGTATGTACTTCAGGGACTTCGGGTCTATAGAAAATCATATTTTACTCACCAGAGGACAAAGTTTCAACTGATTGGAATGAACCCTAGGACCAAATATAAGAGCATCAAAGAACTTGACCTTGAACTTTATATTATTTTCTAGGAGCACTTCCTTAAAACATCTGGTTGCCCTTAATCACATTCGAAATAGATAAGTTAAGGAGTCATCATTTAATAATAGTCTGAGTTGTAATAAAGAAATGAAGGGTGTAATCATTGAATTAACATAATATAGTCAGGTAAGGTTTGTCTGATTTGTGAGACAGAAATTGGAGGGTGAGGGGGGAGTGTAATGATTCAGTATACATACTATCGTAGTCTGATGCCCTGTTGTCTATGTCATAAGTAGGAGAAGATCTCATTGGTTTCTGTAGCATGTCCAACCTGTCATCTCTTATCCTGTAAGTGACAAAAACTCGTGAAATTCAGTATACACTCTCTTTTCAATAAATGCAAGTTTTCAATCTGGTCACATTAACTAATGCTCAACCCAGGCAGCATATCATAAAAAAAGAGGAATATATTTTTATTTGGACAATAAATAGTATATCTTCAGAGGCTAAACAGATTTTTGCAAATCTGAGGTTACTAGGTGTATTGGTCCTACAAAATTCTGCAGTCAATCAGTCAACTTATATATTTTTTTTTTCAAATTAAGGTCTAATGCACTTTAATTGCAAAACCTAACAGTCAAACTTTATAATAGTTTTTGCACCTATGTAAGAGTAGTTAGCAGAAGACATTAATTGTTTGAGAGTACATTTAACCTTACTGATCAGCTGTATAGAGCCTGCCAACACTTCTCTAATGTTATAGATCATATATTTGTAATAATTATTGAAAGATGTTTCAAATCTTTTAAGCTTTCCATTGGTAATTTTATTAACCTGTGAGCAGAAACATGTTATGTCATCAAGGATAATTTTCCATATGTTTTCAACAAATATCACTTGGCAGATTATAATTATTTCTAATATAAATCCTTTCACTTTTTTCTTCATTTCAATTTCCTGCTTAGAGTGTAGAAAAACATTGCTTTTTATCATTTGAGCTGGAAAAATCTTATTAGTTTGTAAAAAATCTTTCTGCGTTTGAAATCATTAATCATCAAAAGAATCGTCATAATTCAAATATTACTCTGTAGAACACAAAGATATATACGAATCGTTTGATAATATTTTTGGGAAATGGTTTGTCCTAATTAATGCTTTCAAGATGAAATGGTTTCATATTGGTTTTATCCCTCCTTTTCTATTTATTTCAAAGATGTACATATGATAAAGACCCTATGATGTAAGACAGTCATTAAAATCAAAGATATAATAAAATCTTTCTTTTAACCATAGTTCCTATTGATTGAATATCATTCACATTAAATGATTACGGTTTTCTTTTAAATAAAATCTTTATTTCCCCATCTTCAAACAAATAAAAAGAATTTTATTTTAAAGTTTTAAGACAGTGATTATATCTGTTGTGCATTGATGTCTTTGCATGCTAATTTTGTATCCAGTTTCATGTCCACAAACTCATACATGCAGAAATACAAAAGACATTAAGACTTAAATAGAACTGCAGAATGCTGCATGCATGCTACTTTGTATTACTGGTTAAATTTGTAATTCCTGGAAGACTGAATTCTGATTTTTGACTTCAAATAGAAATTAAATTACTTAGCATGTTCATTTATTCTTTATTGTACTAAGTACTTTAAATTCAGATGAACGTTTAACTGGAATATGTCCAAGAAAATTCTATTTTGCAGAAAAGTATATGTAAAATTTTCAAATTCAAAATGCAAAATGCAAATTTTTTTTAGGAAACTTTGTGGACTCTAATTTTCAGGTCACAAATTGTGCAATTAGACTAAGAACTGATGAAACTCTTATCAAGAGACTCAAACACTTTTGGACTATTTTTATAGACTAATTGGCTTTCATGATAATGAACTTCATGAATGAGATTTCTGAATCATTTGACCTAATGCTGTCGTACATTAGAAAAATATATTCTTATTTTAGGTCTAGTTTTTGGTTTTTCTTACCACCGTATAATCCTTGAGTAAAAGGAAAATTCAAAACAGCAATATACTGGTAAGTTATATGATTATTTCATTTTAGACTCTCATCCTATGTCCCCGTCCCATTAATAAACAGTGTTTAAGCCTGGGAATTCAAATTAATTATACATGTAGTCCTAATTGCTTGAATATCTCTTGTTTAGTATTACACTAAAAAATATTGCCAGCAAAGAAATAATCCCACCTATTAAAAGTATGAAATATCTTAAACCAAGAAGTAACCCCATGTACAGTATAAAATATATTAAGATACTTTTTCCTTGTTCTTATTGGTATGAAAGTATATGAAACCAATAATATTCAGTGCTTTATCTAAATCTCGGATAACATTTCACATTTTTCTAATATACTTCAATCCTAATGTATCAATTTTCTATGAAGCAAAAACAATTTAATTCCATGTAATTTAGATCCCATCTTCACATCACAATAATGCATGCCACTTTATAAAAGACAAATAAACTCAGTTTTCTATGATTGTTAGAAACATGTAAATCACAGCCAATATCGGGAGACAATTTCTACAGTTTGTCAATGAAAGCCGATCATTTTCTCCGATTACAATTCTCTTAAATATATATCATTTACAACAATTCCGACTCCGAAGATCTGATTTTCTGCCACTTAGCGTTAAGACGTTTTCATGACGAGTATAAATTGTACTATAATTGCGTGTTTGTCGAAGCAACAGACAACAAATGGACAAAATAAAATGACATCTCAATATGGTAGAGAACACAGACGTGTCTATAAGTGACGGAATTAATCGTAATAACCATATGTTTGTATTAGTACGGTTAGATTATAGACTGTAATGCTTTATAGGGAGGTCTATTGACTGACTGCTCAATCTTAATAACGGGGGGTTACCTCAAATATAACTCACAAATAACATTCAAATAAATGGTAGACGTTTCTTTAGATGGTCATGGAATAGTATTTATTTGTATTTGTTTATTCCTTATAAGATTTTTAGAACATAAAAGGGATGCTAATAAGTGATAATATTTTCTAAAAGATAAGGTATTATAGAAAAAACAAATTCCAAAATAAGGGTAACATTTCAAAGATCTGAAAACACTAACAACTTTACAATTTATGTAAGTTTTCTTTTTTCCGAATCCCTGTATTTCTATTGTATAATTGTAATGTGTGCACTTTTGAAAAATAAAATATTGTTTAAACTAAAACTAATCGTCATTCCAATAATTCCTTTAAGCTATTATCTAGATTTTGGGATATAGTAAAATCTTTTCTGTTTTGAAACAACGTTTGTAACTGAAGGAAATTTCAATCTGATAAGTAAAATAAATTAAATGGTGCATTTAGAAAATAACAAAGATTGCTGACATGTTTCATGAATGAGATTTTACGTTTATCGTCAACAGCTCATCAATGAGTTTTTACATAGCTTTTGAATGTAAGCGTTTTATTGGAATATTCAAATGGATTTACAGATCTGCAGTAAACAGAGCTTTGATAAGGTCTATAATGCAGCAATAAGTTAAAATAGTACATGTACAATAAATTATGACTGCATGGACCTTGGGGACATCATGCACAAAATAACACACACTTTTACAAATTTCATCAAACTCAATCTCTGAGGGAGTTAATTACAAATCAAGATGTCCAAATATAGAGCGCTGTGGTCCAATTTTATATTGGAAATGTAAATATTCAGCATTTTTTTTCTTTATCATTCAGTTACCTTGGTGATATAACATCAGATTCAGAACCTGATCTGTCTTTCAACATGGATCCATCAGGTCGAAGGCCAAGGTGAGAGGCCATTGCCAAGGAAACAGGTGGCGATAACATGTGATTGTTGAATGGCATGAATGGCAATGGTCCCATGGCATATGGGTGGTGTGCAAATCCATTGAATAAAGCTTTCCTGTCTGCTGAAAAGATAAATAGTTAATAGTTATTACACATAGTCAAAGGATCTTTTTGTACTTGTTGTATGTTGTAATACTCAGGTCCCCTGTTGAAGTTTTCCTATGTTTTTTTTATACTGATTACATATCAATCCTTCATTTCAACTTTGCTAAAAGTACAAATGAAATCAAAGAATTGAGACTTTACAGATGACCATTTAGTTTATATTCAAATGTGATTGGTTAATTATCAAAAGCGGGAGTAAGAAATATCTGAAAATATCAACTCTTTGACAACTTTTCTAAAGTTTTTTGTTCTAGTTAATGTTCTTATTTTTGGATCTTTTATTGTTTTAGTTTTTTTCTTCTTCTGTGCTTCTCCTATAGACATGAGCTACTTTCAGAAAATTCAGCAACATATATATATATATATATAACAATAATCTTTTTAGACTGAATTAATTGTATATGTCAGTCCCATTTAAATTTCAATGAAATGAAGACTGACTTAACATCTAATACATTATAAAAAGTTAAAGATCTATGAATTCATTTTAAATATACCACTTTAGTGACACAATAGTGAAACCTGTCACCTCTAAGAGTTTCCAAAGTGCTTTGTTTGTCAGTCTAGAATAGATTTATTGTTCTTGATTGGAATTATTCAGACAGTTTTGATTTGAAAAAAGTCATTTAAAAAATTGTAAAATATTACTGAATATGATATTGTCATTGACAAAGAAGCCATAACAATACGTTATTCATTCTATAACTAAAATTGCTCTCTGTATCAACAGACTCCCAATAATTTCAGGGAATCAACAAAAATGAAAAATAAATGTAAAACTAGGAATAAGAATACACTCAAGATGATCACTACTTTTATGATTAGAACTGAAATGTTTGCTAAAACTTAGGACAACGGGAAATAGGCAGGTATCGTAAGGTTGCAGCGGATATCGTTCTGACGTAAAATATAGCTCTGTCATTATTAAAATATCGTAAATATTGTATTGACACAGAGAAACAATAGTTATGGAAAAGTGAAGATAAAAATGTCAACATTTCAAAACTATGATTTTACTTAAATAAATACAAATTGCAAAACTTAAATAACAAAAGATTATGGATTTTGACAATAGAACAAAGATCTGAGAAAACTATCTCAAGCTCCCATCAGATTGCATTTACAGATGTATACAATCAAAAATTGATATTTGTTCTATTTAGTTTGTCTTTCTATATTTGGTAAATCTTGACAGGTGAGTGTTAAACAGTGTCAGCAATTCAGAACGCAATTTAAATATATTAAAGTTCAAAATTGAAATCTTTGTCAGACAAAAAAATATATAAATGAAAAAAAATGTAAAAGACTTTTTGAAAGTTTCTATTGAACTTTTTAACTAATGATGATTTAAAACTTTAACACTGAAGACAGAAATATAAGGACAATTAGATGACTTTTTGCTTTATAAATGTTGGTTTGCTGTCTAAATGATCTTTATCCCAAATCCCCTTTTCATTCTTTAGTTGCTTATGTATGGAATTTCAGGTTTTTATTTCAAAGACAAACACATCTTTAACTGAGTTTTGATTTTACCTCCACTATTACTACACAGTGTCAAATGTAGGGACTGTAAAAAATGCTCCAGCACTTTATTAGGTACATCTTTTAAGATAATAGTAAATTATATGTGGAATGCTTCAAAACCAAAATAAGTTACAGATATGACAAGTGAATACCCTTGTTACATCCACTGGTGATTAATTATAATTGCCTGACTTCTTTTTCAATAAAATGTATCCTTCAGAAGCTCTAAGAAGATATTTCTTCCCTCAGTCAATCCTTTAAACCCTCCGACTACTTGAAAAACACTTTCAGGTGATAAGAATAAAATCAAGATTTCACACAATGGCTAACCTGGTCAGTAAGATCAGTGACAATGCATTTTAAATAAACCCGGTATTTTATCCTCTGATATCTACACAAGACCTCTTCAGGGAAAACAAATATACACAATCGCCAAATACAACCCTGTTCCGTGATAAATTTGATCTCGTACCAATTGTTATTTGAGAAAAAGTCAAAATCCAATACATTCATAATGCAATAATTTCATATGAATTGATCCCTCAGATATTTATTTCCCTTTTTATTAAATCTATAAACTTAGTTAGTAAACTATTTATCGATTGAATTGTCATTTTTACGATTGATACAATATTACTATTATCTGTCCTCGACGGGAGAAACGTTATCCCGAATTATGATGGGGATTCAATCACAAAACATGTGTTATGACAAATATAATTCTCTATTACAAATATTGACGATTGAAGAGGTTCCTTGTAGGAAAAACAAGCTCCTCTGTATCACCATTTCAGATAAATGGTATAAAAGTTCAAAGGAGTATTTCTTTTACTTCATATGAACTTACAAAACAACATTTAACATCAGTTCATTCAGTTGAAAGGTCGAACATATACATTTCTGTATGCAAACAATGCAATTCAAAGAATTCGCTGAAATTTGATTCTTTTACAGAATATTGACAATTTAAAAGGGCTATGAAATTAATCCTTCATGCTTTCGTAACCAAATTAATTGCTTTAATTGTAAGTGTTCCAAAGCATTTAATCCGATCTTCCTTTTGTTATTTTTTTTTAGATAAATTTCCTATGCATGCCCTTTACAATACCTCCCAGTGATGCCATACCTAATTTTCCCCTATCTTTTTTAGAATGACAAGTTTGATCCCTCAGAATTATCTATTATTTCTGCTTTTTATTGATATGGTCCAAGGGAAATAGCTGTGCTTCAGAAACCAATTTATTTTCTCTTTTCAAAATTGACATGTACAAAAAATGAAATTCATTAAATAAGTGGATTTCAATATATTTCTATTTCTCCATTCTAGTTTCTGCAGCATGCGATAAGTGTTATTTTTACGGTTTCACGCTGTTACGTCCCCAGTAACCGTGGTAATTCAGTGCAGAATCTTTTAATTAAGATGCAGGAAATGTAATGAACATTTTGATAATTTCGACATGTCCTGTTAATTTGAAGAAATACTTAAAAATTACCAAAACTTCTTCAAGATTTCTTCTGATTAGTTTTTAATTCCACTTTTCAACCTAATCGTAAATAAAAATGAAACATAGTTTGAAGGATGTTTTCCTTTTCTAACTCTTCCTTTTTTTTATAAAATTAAAAAACTCTAAATATTTCTGTTACCATCTTAATATGAAGTATTGTTAAGATTCAGAGAAAAAATGTATAATTTTCCCTCTGTGTTTATCTTTCTAGCAATCACTGATCAATTAACAACAAAGTTATCTCCCCTGTGTCAAATTCAAGTACATCATTCATTTCATTCTCTGCTTATGGTAAAGATTTTGTCTTTCCCACCTGTCCATAGGGGGAGAGGCACAGAAAGGGAAAAACTTACTTCTAGATTTCCCCTGTGACCACCTATCCTTAGTTAGGAGGCGACAGAGTTGGTTAAACTTCAAGATGTTCCCCTGTGCCCACCCTATGGGCTGAACCTACAGTGAGTGAGAGTTTTTGATATGTATTGTATTGAATTAATAAGGTCACTGTGACTTTGAGATGCAGAACAGCAATAAAAACGCTGCTACTTTGCTTTTGGTTTTTAATATGTGTGTAGCTTTTTGTGTCATGAATTGATACACTTGTATCTTTTCTTTTCCAATATGGCATTTATTTGTGGAAATAAAAATAATATATAAAGAGCTGTGCCATGAGCGCATAATACGCCTGTTGCTTTTTCAACGAATAAAGTTCCATAACTCCTCAATGTCATATCAGAAATTTATAAAAAACTAAAGGGAGTGGTTTGTAAGATATATAAATCAGTCACCAAACTTTCATAAAACTGCTCAAAGCATTTTTGAGATATTGTCCGAAAACTGGAAAATTCCCCCTTTTTTATGAATAAAGTCCAATAACTTGGAAACATAAAATCTAAAATGTATAAAAATTGCAAGGGAGCTTAAGTCAATAGATATAATCAATTCACCAAAGTTTCAAGAAAATTGGTGAAAGCGTTTTTGAGTTATAGTGGAATTAAAAACATGTTGACAATGGACGGACAGACAACGGTATACCATAATAGCGGTCCCGTAAATGGGTGTATAAAAATCATAGTTCTCTGTAGTGTATACTACTTATTTTTACATGTTTAAATAAAATCAGGACCTGTTGTCGATGGCTCTTTTCTAGCATTCATATGAAAAATATGAATCAGTTTCTCCATCTTTGGTATTTAATATCATAAAGTATAGATAAATCAAACATTACAACAATTTTTTCAGAAAATAAATTAACTCATTTCAAAAGGTTGGATTCTAACATAAAATTCTTGATTGGGTTTAGAATGAAGCCATTTTTTGCACTGTCAAAAAACATTGAAATTTAAGTCAAAACAGAAATTCTCACATTTCAAAGTGATGACATGAGTTTCTTGCAAGACTAAAGTTTCCAAATGAATTATTTCAAAAGAAGGGATCATATTAATACTGAATGGATTAACAATGATTTAGATTATTGTTCTTATTTAATTACATTATATTTCCTGAAGTCTGTAATTAAGCACTATTTTATTTGACATTCTTAATTTGGTAAATTTGTTATATAATCATTTCATTTGCAAGCTATAATAACATGTTTGCTTTAGTTTCGAGAGGTTCCCTCCATAGTCCAATTAAAATGTGTATTCTCTTCTTCTCCACTAAACACATGGCATTAAGCGAGAAAAAACAAAATCTGGACAGCTTTGGGTCAGAGTAATATGTCCTTGTAGGGAGGCAGGTCCTCTTGCAGACTTCATATTTCAGAACCAGTTAATTCAAAATCTGTTAAGTGTTTCTGTCCAGAATAAAGTCTACTGGAGGTTCAACATTCATCCGTCTTATTTAAGGTTCAACATTCATCCATCTATTTTGAGGTTCAACATTCTTCTCTCTATTCTTCCATCCTTTTGTAACTCTCTTATTGTATTTTT